AATATAATATAATATAATATAACAAAATAAAAAAAAACACTTTCAATCAATACTTAAACCTTTAATAAAAAGGCTTTCAAATATAGATAATCCCTGGTCATATCAAGCAGTTTACTTCGCTAAATAACGACTTATATCTTGATCAGTAACTTATCTTGTTACCCCAACCTCCGTTTGCCTTCTACACAATCAGTGGTTCCGTCTAAAACTACTTCAGAGGGAAGCACATTCTTTTTTTTTCTATAGGAAACTGGGTACTGCAATTAACAGTTCTATATTCTTAATAAGCGTGGGTAACAGAAATTCACTTTTGATTCATTAATCTAAGAAGATAATGCGAAAAGCGAAAATCCTTGCAGCTGCAAACAACTATTAAGTCTGGCGGAACAGTGAAACTGGAATACGCAAGAGGCATTGCAATGAATTAAAAGATTACTTTTTTCTCAAAACTGTAAACTAAATCATCCCATAAACTTAAGTTGAAAAATAAATGTACTCCTGAAAAGTCAGACTATTCAAAGGTCATTAAGAAAATCGAAGAACGAATCTGGTACTCAGCACCTATTGTTATTTCTGAAAATTCCATATTGGAACTTGTATTTACAAAAACGTCAGCGGAACAACACTTCAGAAATGCAGTTGCAATTTCCAAGCAGAGAATTTAGATAGCTTTTTCTGTAGGAAAAAGGTAAACAAAGTAAATTTAAACCAAGCTTAATCCATAAAAAAGTCTCCAGCGTACTAAAGTGCTCCCTTTACTTCCGCATCACTTCAGCATCGATTAGGCTAAACCCACTCAGTGTTTTTTGTTTCACACAGCGAAGCCACTAGTGGAACTATAACCGTAAAAATGTAATTCATCAGACTCGCCTTTAAAAGAATAAACTTTCAATATAAGCTTTTTTTAGTGTGCAGCAATCAATTTCTAAAATTGTTTACTGAAAGACCGGCAGTAATAAAACATTACCAATTACAATTTGTAGCGGCAACCTGCCGAAAGCTGACACACAACAGAACAGTCTTTTTGATACGGCAGCACAAAGCATACACTTTGCAAGTGCATTTTATGTCTTCCTAAAAAGCCCAACCAGATAATCTCATCTTCACTTTACAGTATTTGCTAGACATATCTGTCTGACACTACTATTTGTCTTAGGAAATTATCTTGCCAAAGAGGAATTCCTAAAACACAGAGGTATAGAAGCAGTACTTAAACCTTTTTACATTTTACGCCAACTTTTCTCAGTACGCATATCTGCGACTTCTGCTGTCAGCTCAGAATCCCTGAAAGCTGCAAGATGTCTAGACAAAATCTTCCATCTTACGGATGTTAGGCAGTTACGCCGTTCTTACAATTAAGCGAGCTCACTCCTGAATATGCTTTTTTCGACTGCCTATCTAACTCCATTTTTTGCACACAAGATCCTCGTTTTTTTTAATGTTTTCCCAAAAAGCTCAAAATTTTCTTTCTTAACTATGAATTGGGCTTTCAATTACTGAAAAAGCATTTCTTGCCTAGCAAGACGTCTTAACACTTCGACCTTCACCAAATTCGTTTATTCACGAACTTCTGGGATAGGGCTTGATACTTCAAATCATTCTCAACGTAGTCAAATCTATCATATTTTTGCACAACAAGTTTTAACTTCCGAGCATGTTGCTTTTTCACATTTCGTCCTCAGTAATAACATAAAAACAGCGTGAACTGCGAAAATTTCCAACGCAGTCAGTTTTGCAAATTGATTCCTACTGGTTTGAAAAAAAGAAAATGTTCTTCAGAAACTTCCAGGATTACGCTTCAAAAAGTAAATTTTATGGAGTTTTTGGTTTGACTTCTTCATTATGATAGCTCGTTTATAATTTCCTTCCTAATAATTATCAATGCTGCAGGACAGGTGAGTATTTTGAATCGTCAAACCAATTTTGAAACAATCACTCCATCATCCCAGATGGTTAAAATTTATAGAGGTGGTACAGGTCGCAGGATATTCTGATCGCACAAGTAGATAACTAATTCTGATCCAAAATTAGTCATTGTAATGCAGTAGTTCACTTAGTGTGGTAATTCGGAAACAAAATGTACACAGCCTTCTACAGAATCGTAGCACCCGTAAAGCTGAGCCACAGTTACAATATATTCAACAAACCCTGTAAACCGAAGCATGGCATCAAAATTCAATTTTAAATTTAACAACTGCAGAAAACAAGGTCTGCCGCAACTA